GCCTTTATACAATTAGATACAAAATTATCCATTTTTGAAACAGGAATAAAAGTAGTAGATCTTTTAGCCCCTTATCGAGGAACAAAGTAGGAGCTTTTTCGTGGAGCTGGTGTAAGGAGTAAAACGGAGACTCATAATTAGGCATTAGTGGAATTGTATGTAACTTAACATTGGTGAGCCAAACGCTTCATGGACGGGTGTTATCCGTTTATTGTGTGCGCGAGTATTGTGAGTCGAGATTCGGAGGTGACAATGATCTTTTAAATGGAAATGGAAAGAAATCCGGAAGTAATTGAGATATGTGAAACAAAATAATGCATGAGATCAAGAGAGGTAGACTCGCTATGTATATTAAAACAGGTCAAAAATGATCCTAAAACGCCCGAGGAGCTCGTATATTGAAGAGTGTGGTGGTTGAGACTACTGTCAACAGGCTCATCACTAAATAACTGATGGCAGGAATATGTTTCTGCGAGATTGATCAGATTGCGAGCAAAGACGTACTTCTAATTTATTGGACAGAACACTCTGCCTGCTTCGTCCAAGGCATGTAATTGAAGTAATCACTGCTTTATTGTGGGATGCGAATGCACGAGCCTCTTGTGGGTAATCAATGACGCAACTCGAGATAACTCCTGAACCCTTAGTACATTTGAGGGAATTGGGTTATCTTTGACAAGAAAGAATTACTTAGTCTGTCTACACAAGAGTAAGGCGAGTCACATAACTTCTTTCAAGTCAGTTTGTATGGTAACCTTGCAGAACGATTGACCGGATCCTGCGTCCTGTGCCACGACATTTTGGCACGATTTAGATGCTACTACTGTAGCTATCAAGAGGCATTAGCGGCCCATAAGGTAGATCTATCGCGTAGCAGTGGACCTTTAGATTCATAACGTCGAAAGCCTCATGCTCCAACCTCGGATTAGTTGGTGAAGAAACATTGAAAAAGCTTTCGAGAGAGAATAAACAAACTTTATTCCACATCACGGGGTTATCACAGGAAACTTTCAGGACCAATTATAGCTATCCTTGGGTTGGATGAATTATCCGAGGAGGATCGTTTAACTGTAAGAGCACGAAAATTGAACGTTCTTATCACAGCACTTTCTTTTAGCCAAGAAGTATTTAATCAGGTTTCGACTCCGGGGAAATATGGTTGTCTAAGCAGAAAAATTTAGAGGGTTTATAATTGATTTCTTCTGGAGAATTAAGAGATGGTACTCCTGTAAACAAGCCTTTTATATAAGTGGTTATATTCGATGAAGCTACTGAGACGAAGGCTTGTGAAGATTTAGAAAATGGAGAGCAAATGAATGAATGACTTTAAATCTTTGTGTACTTGACCCTCGAAAATTTCGAATTGTTTTGGAATTCAGTGAAGTGAAGGAAATCATTTTTATCTTACTGAATTAGGGACAAAATTGCAGGAGTATTTAACAATATTGGTAAAAATCATAAGCGAGCCTAAATGATAAGACCATATACAAAGCCTGCACAGAGATGTATAACTGGTATCACATAGACACGAAAAGCTTAAACGTGGACCCAATGGGTTATAAACAGAGATAGGTCTCATCCTAAGTGTGTGCTGTTACTTTGTGTGCTAAAAAAGGCACAAAAAATATTGAGAATACAACTGGTTCTTAAAGAGTAATGATGCGAGAAAGGGTAGTGAACAAAGGAAATGGTATACCAAAGAAAGCAATATGCGATAACTCTTAGTAAAAATCAAGAAGGCTAATTGATAAATATAGGCCTGGAAAGGAAGAGACAAACAATTGAGTGCATATCGAGGGCTCTTCAGACGAGCTAAGAACAACAGAGTAAGAAAGCTATCAAAATTTGGTATTTCGTAACAAAGTTGGTAAAACACACACGCGAGAAATTTCGAAAAAGTGAAAAGTGAATTAACATTTCAATAAAAAATGGAGCAGTGCTAGCATACGTACTATGTGTGGAGATTAAGAAAGAACAGTTGATTGAGCTAATCACTCGACGTAAATTGAAGGCAAGAACCTTAGACTAAGTTTAAAAAAGAAAGCTTATCTAACTACAATTTTGGCAATCTTTTTTCGTTTGAAAATTAGCTGCATTTATATCCTGAATTACGATTGAATCATACCTGTCTCTTATGAGGCCATAATATCTAAATAAAAGATCCTCTGAAGATATGTGGATTAATTGTAATGTTGCAAAAAGAGGTAGAGAATATAGAAAAATAAGACTTTATGGCAACAGAGTTCTGCTGAATTTTGGGTGAATCCTTTGGATAAAAGTGACAATCTAGGGGACTGCTAATAGGAAAGAGAGAGGTTCGCGAGCAAACACCACAACACGCAAGCTTAAATCACAACTAAATTGAGTTAGAGAAAAACAATACTTTTCTGATAGTGGTATGTGATAATGTTGTCTATAACTGGCTACTTTGTTTGCATGTAGCTTCATTTAATGATATTGGCCCTGATTGAAATGAATGCAACCGATTGGTGCAGGCAAG